CCCAATACATAAACTGTTTCATAAATAACTGCTGTTTAAATGGACAACTACAAAACTATAGGGCTTCCTTCTAAAGTTGAGTTTGTCTTCCCTGACTTTTGAATCTTAAATGATCTTAATAACTGAGTGCTTTATAGCTACTGCAGATTATTCCTATATTCTTTTTTAAAATATTTTATTTTTTAGTCATAGATGGACACAATATCTTTATTTTATTTTTATGTGGTGCTGAAGATGGAACCCAGGGCCTTGCATGTGCTAGGCGAGCACTCTAACTCTGAGCCACAACCCTAGTCCCCCTATATTCTTATTTTATCTCCATAGCAATTCCATGATTGTGCCACAGTTATACTGGGGCTGAGAGAAGATTATCAGCAAGAACTTAGGTCTTGTGGCTCTCCAGGCATAGTGTGCCTCCTACTGTAATGTTCACCCTTCTGTGTCCAGAAAGCTTTAAAACAGCTTCAAAACACTCATATTTAATTCCTATATCACTCTTTTAATCACTGTGAAATGTCCCAACCAAAGAAATTTAATAACAAATAGATATGCAGAAAACACTATGCAAGAAAAATATCACTTCTACTGTATACTCAAATGGAAAAGCTTCAAAATATCTCCCCCTTAGTTCTAAAAGAAACAAACACAGAAAGAGAACACACAGACCTAGCTCCACTGTCTGATACAATCATTCTTGACACAAAGCCAGGTCCCTTCCAGCCACTACATCCTGCTTCTTTTTACACTCAAAGGCCCAAGTCAGTAGGCTCACTCTTCCCTGAATCATCTCATACTCTGAAATACTTCCTGCTCCCTTGAAATAGGATGGGTTGGGCTGTTCTCTCTCTACATTCCTCACAAGGAACAGAATGACAAAAGAAAGGAAAAACAAGAAGACCTCTATTTACTGTCTAAAATATATCTTTATATGTTTGAAAGTCCTTTTCTACTATCAACTTATTCCACAACTACTTTTACATATGTACTACGTCCCAGTTTCATTATAAACTCCATGAAGACTTTCCTTATGGTATCCTTGATGTTAAATGTTATTTCAGACATTAAGTATATAAAAATGAATAAGTCAGACCATAAGGCAACTACCAAAACACAAATTACTAAACATAAAGCAATATGTTACATAAACAAGTGCTATTGAAGTAAACAGAGTTAGAAAAGATGGGAAAGGTTTTACAAAGAGTTGAGCCTTAGGCTGAAGAAACAATATGTGCAGACTAGGGATGTAGCTCAGCCGCACATGCACAAGGCCCTGGGTTCAATCCCCAGCACCACCAAAAAAAAAAAAAAAAAAAGGTGCAAGAACACAGAGGCAAAGTAAAGCACTGTTGTGACCGAAAAGGTGGGTTCTGTCAGAACAAGAGGTTCACTAATGGGGAATAATGGGAAATAAGACCGGAAAATGCATCTGAAGCTAGACTATGAAGGTCTGTTAACACCCTGCTAAAGAAACTGGCCTTTGTCATGGAGGCAATTAGGGGTGTCTTCTATTTTAAAGCAGGATCATTACACAATCAATTTTAGACAGACATGAAGACTGTCAGGAAAACTAGTCAGAAAGTCACTCTACCAACCAATGTGAGAGTTGGCAAAGCCTAAGAGCAACAGAAATTTAGCTGAAGACAGATGAATATCAACAAGGGTTTTTTTGACAAGATGAAGAGAACATTAAGAAAAATGATTCATTAACCATATTAAAGAGTAAAAGGAGAAATAGGTTTATGTTTTGTTTTTTTCCTGTAGTGAAGGGAGATCTAAAGCTCCAGTTTTGCAAATAATTTGTTTTATTTTAAAGTATCTATGGACTGGGTGCAGTGGCACAAGCCTATAATCCCAGTGGCTTGGGAGGTTGAGGCAGGAGAATGGCAAGTTCAAAGACAGCCTCAAACAACTTAGCAAGACCCTAAGCAACTCAGCCTTGTCTCTAAAGTAAATACAAAAAAAGGGCTGGGACACTGCTCAGAGGTTAAGTGTCCCTGGGTTCAATTCCTGGTACATAAAAAAAAAAAAGTATCTGTAGAATACAGGTTAAGCTCCAAAAGATACTTTGACTGAGACTGGTCCTCAAAAGCATCTGAACAGTCAATGAAGATAAAAGACTTGTGGTATTATGATAGCTAATTTTCTAGGAGTTAGGTAACTTCACAGCCAGAAGAGCAAAGACAGAATTCATATTCAGTTCCCAAAAAAAAGAATCAGCCTAGAAAGGATAGAGAGAAATGGTAAGCAGAAAAAAAAGATAATGGAAACAAACTTGAAATTAGACTTTGAAGTCTAACAGTCTTGTGTACTTACAAATCAGCAATATCAAATCATCAGTACTTCAGTGACTAAGTTGAGTGCTATATATCCATGCAATACAGTTCAAGAAAAAGGAAAAACAGTCAAGTAGCTACTCATAACACCAATGACAATTACAGAAGTGAGACAGTAAAGGGCATACCACAAACTCCAAGTTTGCACAAAAGAAATGGGCAACCTAATAAGAAAAAAAATTCAGCTAGAACCCCAAAATAACTGGGTGATAAGTTTACTGCAGAGACCACCCCCCACACACACACACACACCCCTCCAGACCAGGCTTTTGCTCCAGAAAATCACAGACACTATGGCACAGATTCACATACTTCATCATCTAGTTACTCAAAGGGAGACAAGAGACCAAAGCTAAGTTCATAAAGCAGACAGGATAGACAGAATCAAATTGGAATATCAATTAAATAATTAATTATTGCCGGGCCAGTGGCACACACCTGTAATGCCAGCAGCTCAAGGAGTCGAGGCAGGAGAATCACAAGTCCAAAGACAGACTCAGCAAAAGTGAGGTGCTAAGCAATTCAGTGAGATCCTGTATCTAATAAATACAAAAAGGGCTGGGGATGTGACTAAGTGGTTGCGTGTCCCTGAGTTCAATCCCCAGTACCAAAAAACAAGAAAAAAATTAATTATCCTGGATTCAAATATTCCTCCTTATTGTGAACCATGTGCCTCAATTTAAAAACAAATAGGGAAGCTGAGTCAGACATGATAGCACACATCAGTAGTCCCAGCTCCTCAGGGGGTGAAGCCAGAAGATCTCTTGAGCCTTGGGGTTCGAGTCCTGACTGGGCAACATGGCTAGACTCTGTTTCAAAAAAAAAAAAAAAMCGAAAAGAAAAACAGGGAAACTGGAGACAAAAGGCAAGAGAAGGTGGGGTAATCTGTAATTAGGAGAAAAGAATGGGGTGGAGAGAAGCACTAGTATAGACAATGGGGTGGAGAGAAGCACTAGCAGCAAAAAGTTTACCAGACACCTCAACTTCAAATCTGCACTGACTCTAACAGCTGCAGTAACACATCGCTTGGCATGTTTTAAAACTTTTTGCACTTAAAAGCACTGGTATTTGATCATCTTGTAACCTCATCCCACTTTGGAGAAGGGGTAAGCATCAATAAACTTTGACAAACTTGACCCCGTTCTGTCTCCAGTAACCATACCATTCAGGAAATAAACCAAGTTGAATATACTTATTAGTAAAGGGAGCTTATTGTCATGATCACACAGTTGAGTTTTCATTTTATCTCCCACTTATTTTAGCAGTATCTGGCACTTGCACACACAACAGTTGGTGCTATTCTTCCTTCTAGAAGACTTTATCATCCATACCTTGTTAAAATCACTAATTTCATTAGGCCTCAATTTCCCCACCTGTAAAACCAGAATGATGTTCGTGGGTTAGAAATCGAATGTCAGGTGTTTTGTAAATCAGAGTGCAATACCAAAACGGAAAGAATAACTTCTTAAATCTAACATATAATTGAGACCCCTTTTTTAGCCCTAAAGGAACTGAAAACACCAGGAGGTTAAATGACTAGTTCTTCCTAAGGTCGGGTAAGGAACACATATCTAACCTAAGCATTTCCATCACCCCTTGTACAGCTGACTCAAATCTCAACGAATCCTTCCAAAGCCCAAGGCCTGCCCACATCACCTTAATCTTCTTATATCCAGGTAAGGGGGAGGGAAAGAGAAGCAACAGAGTATCAGAAAATGACTTGCCCAAGGTCAAAACATCAGAGTAGATGAGCCAGCAACCGAGGCCACGTCCCCGTACCTCCTCCACCAGCCCCAGAGAAACGACGAGCTGGCCCTTCCTGGGCCTCAGAGAGCACCGTGGGGGCGGGGACCTGGCCCGAGCTCACCGGGCGCCCGGGCCTCCCCCGTGCGCACATCTCTACGCCAGCACCTGCCAGAAGCCCCTTACACTCACCCTCCACCGACCCCGCCCCGCCCTCTGACTTAGGGCCCCACCCCCGAGGCCCGGACCCCCGGGAAAAGCCCCATAGGTTAAGTTTCCACGCCACGGATCCCCGCCTAGACTCCCTGCCATGTCTACGGTCTCACGCACTATGGCACTCCGGACCCGGGCCCTCGCCAACGCTGCCTCAAGGCCCGCGCCGCTGGCCGCCCAGCCCAGCGTCGCCCGCAGCAAGCTCCTCCTCCGTCCCAGACAGCAAGCAGAGACAGCCACCGACTTCCTCCGCGAGCTCCGCCCCGCCTCAGCCCAGGGAAGCACCCGCCGCCAGAGCTGACGGACGGCCCCAAGAACCAATAGAGACTCGCAACCGGAGGAACTGGCTGACGGATGGCCCCAGTAACCAATAGAAACTCACGAATGTAAAGGACGCGGCCTCCGCCAGCGAGCCACGCCCTGTCCGTGCTTCCGCTCGTGCGGAGAGGCTAGGGGAAACTTTCCCAGAGTTCCTTAGAGCTGCCTGGGTTCCCGCGGGAGCTACAGCTGTAGCGGCGGGGAGGTAGCCAAGTACCACTGCTGATTGGGTGAGGAGTGGGCAGAGTACAGGAACACCGCCCGTAGGAGTCAGACCTCTGCAGTGGGAGGCTCAGCGCGCCGCAGCCCCGCACTCATCCCTACAGCCGACGTGGGCCGGCCAGGCTGCAGGAGGAAGAGCCGCATGGGCTCGGCCGATGAGAGCAGGCCACGGTCCGGCCTGGGTTCCTCCGAAGCTACCCCTGTCTCGGCACCGTGCAGGGTCGGGGTCAAGCCGCTTTTGTTTTTCCGTCCCACTTCAAACCCTTCCCAAACCCTGACCTTTTTGCTCCGCCTAGACTACTGCGCGCGTCTGGAACGCGCCAACTAGAGTGGCCCACAAGCGTACTCATCGCTGACTGTCCTGTCCCCTTGAGGAGTCACCACCCTAAACTGGGAATCGCGGCTCCTCCCCACATCCAGAACAAGTGTCTTGAGGGTGTTGGGGGCAGCTGCTCTCCTGTTGCCCAATCGGGCCGGGCCTGAACACCGGCACATCGTCGCAGAGGAAGGTCACGTTCAGAAAGCGGAATCTCTTGTCACTTCTCAGTTTCGCCCAGCCTACGATAGCGGGGCCCCAGCTGAGGAGGACTGGTGCTCGGGGTCCCTCCCACTGGTTCGGGGCCAAAGGTGATGACTCGGCCCGGGGATCCGCGGCGACTCTGCAGGCTGGTGCAAGAGGGCCAGCTGCTTGCCCTGCAGGSGGAGCTGCAGGAGGCTAGAGGCTACCGAGGACCTGGCGGGGACACCCTCCTCCACTGTGCAGCCCGTCATGGGCGCCGGGACATCCTAGCCTATTTGGCCGAAGCCTGGGGCATGGACATTGAGGCCGTGAACCGAGACTACAAGAGGCCTCTACACGAGGCTGCCTCAATGGGCCACCGRGACTGCGTGCGCTACCTGCTGGCTCAAGGGGCAGCTGTGGATAGCCTGAAGAAAGCCGACTGGTAGGTGGCCGGGATCCAGAAAACCATTCCGCCTTGTCACTTCCGGCAGAATCAGATTTTCGTGTACTTATTAATTCTGTCCCCTTGACAGTATAGCTTTTCTCGGCTGCTAGTTTTTCATCCTAGAGACCTGCTCTGCAGCAAGGTCGTCCAGCAAGGTTAACCTTCCTGCCCTCGTGGGGTTAACTGAACAGGACAGTAACTTCCCTTTGTGAGACAGTATGAAATATAATCAAACAGTGAATTGTGTGCAGTGCTCCTAGCTCCAGGATGTGAAGTTCTAGCACTTTGTCTAGCTACATTACTACCCCATTTGCTTTGTTTTGACATTATTACAGTCAATACAAATAGTCAAATTTCATCAGTTACACATGTGCTGTGAGTAGATGTTACCAAGTGAGGCCTTGCATAACCACCACTGTCAAGGTACTGTACCATCACATAAATAAATCCCATTTTGTTGAATTAACATTATTTTTAGTGCCTCCTGCATAAGGTGTCTTCAAATCGAAGAACCTATGGTTTACAACTCTATGAAGTGCCTACCTTCAAGTGATTCCTGATCTGATTTAAATAAATAAAAGAGGGTTAGGGGTGTAGCTCTGTGGTAGAGCAGTTTCCTAGCAGGTAATAGGCACTGATTCCATCCGCATCACTGCAAACACACCACTGCTGCATCAGGAAGAGAGCCATATAGTTAAGTACATCTTCCCCACTGTGGTGAAAAAGTAGACCTAGTTATGTTTTGAGGATCATCTATGGCTTTTATTAGCTCTGTTATAATTGATTCTATCCTGGCTCATAAACAGTTTTGCCTCTCAGGTACCTCCCTGCTGTAGGTTTCCATTAATCACCATCATTTCCCTTTTGTTATTTCTCCCAGGCTTCTCACAGCAGGCAAGTTGCCAGTCAAAACTATTTTCCAGTCCCCTGAATTCTCTAGGTTTCCCATCTGTGCCAAGGATGTGCCTTTCCCAAAGACCTGGTACCTTGCTGCTAATGTCTTAGCTGCCTTCATTTGACAGCTTATCCTGGTTGGCCTTAGGACTCCTCTGATGATGGCTTGCACAAGGAAGAATCTTGAGGTGATCCAGGACCTTGTAGAACATGGAGCCAATCCACTCCTGAAAAACAAAGATGGTTGGAACAGTTTCCATATTGCCAGTAGAGAAGGTGACCCTCTGATCCTCCAGTACCTTCTCACTGTTTGCCCGGATGCATGGAAGACAGAGAGCAAAATTAGAAGAACTCCTCTGCACACTGCAGGTACAATCTACAGCTCTGTGTGCAACCTGCTTCAGCCAGCACTGCCCAACATCTTGTTCAAGTCACCCACAGAGGAATGGACAATTTGAGAAAATAGAGATCAAGGATGTGAACATCCTTGGAGGAGATAGGTCATTGAGTGCATGACTTTGGTGATTTGTGTTTTGTCCCTGGGGAGTGGAATTCTGCTTCCTGATTATCATGTCCTGAACTGCATTCTGCACTCACTCCTTTCCACTATGAGGTTCTACCTTACCTCGGGCACAGAGCATTAGAGTTGGCTATCTGTGGACTGAGAACTCTGTAAGTGTGAGCATCAGATACACTAATCCTCCTCTAAAATAGTTCTTGTCAGGCCTTTTGGTCACAGACATGAAAAAGCTGACTTAAATACTGCTTATCCAGTTGGTTTTTATTTTTCTAGGACAATAACAAYCAATTTAGGTGCTCCTTTAAGTCACAATGATAAGAATGGGGGCAGAGGGCTGGGGATATAGCTTAGTTGGTAGAGTGCTTTCCTTGCATGCACAAGGCTCTGGGTTCAATCCCCAGAACCACACACACACAACACACAAGAATGGGGCAGAGAGGAGAGCCAGAAGGGGAAATTTATTTATTTATTTATTTATTTATTTAGCAGTGTTTGGGATCAAACCCAGGGCCTCATGTATGCTAGACAAAGGCTCTACCCCTGAGCTACATCCCCAGTCAAGAAGCATTTTATGTATGCATTAAAAAGCTCTAATTCTCAACTCTCTTCTCCCAGCAATGCATGGCTGTTTAGAAGCAGTAAAGGTGCTTCTTGAGAGGTAAGAGCAAACAGTAAATTGGAGGAAAATATTTTAGTTCTAACAAGGAGTTAATATTGGCCTTACATAAGAAGTTCAAGCAGATAGAAACAAACTAAGCTTGCGAAAAGTGAACACAGGACATAGATAATTCTTAGACTGTAAAACCAAAATAGCTATCAAACAGATGAGGGAAAAATCATCTGTTTCTCTATTCAACTAACATACATATGTTCACTTAGTGCCTAATATAAAGTATGCTCTGTATCAATAGAGGGGCTACAACAGATACAAGGCAGTTACAGTTCTGCCTTCATGGAATCAGAGACTGGCAAGAAGACAGACTGACAAGCTCTGTATGTCTGATTAGCATTGCAAGGAGTTGCAGGATCCCTAAGGGAGCAAATAACAGAAAGGCTCACTTGCCTAGGAGTAGGGATCTCAGGACCCAGCAATACTGAATTTCTCACCTGAAGGAGGAATACAAATTGGCTGCAACTTGGAGGCAAGGGAACATCCAGATGGAGATATCAGCATCTGTGGATACTCTGAGCCAGGAAAAACTGTAGGACTTGTGAGAAACTGATGTGCTGAAGCCTAAACAGTAAAGGGAGCATACTTACTGTGGACCTTGTTAGAAAGTTTAGATTTTGTTCAAAGTACATGAGATAATATGGAAGTGTTTGGAGTCAAGAGATAATAAGATATTAACTATTTTCAAAGATCCTCAATCCTCTGTTTACAAAATGGGGTAAGGGGTGGTAGGAAGGTGCTTTCCAAAGCACTTTCCATTTGGGAGACTGGTGCAGTGAAATGGGAAAGAAATGATAGTAGCTAGGCTGGGGAGATGATGAGGGATGAAGAAAAACATCTGGAGATGTCTAAGAAGTAGACTGTGTAGGTTTAAGTGAAAAACAAAAGGGATGAAGGAGGGCTTGGGGACTTAGCTTAGTGGTAGAGTACTTGCCTAGCAGGTGCAAAGTCCTGGGTCTAATCCCTAGCACTACAATAAATACATGAATGAAGGAGGAGAGGCTTTAAGGATGATTTTCAGGTGTCCATGGGAAGTCTAGATGACTTTCAATGTGGTGGTACACATGTGACTTTCTTAGACATTGAACACCAGAGAAGTAGGTTGGGGTAAAAGATAATTTGAGGGTATCCAAGCAAAAACTTCAAGCAGGAGTTAGAGAAACAGAAGGGCAGAGATAGAAATGTGGGGCTCCTAGATATAGAAATGATAATTGAGGCCAGAGTGAAAGAGATGACCTGAGGTTAGCATATCATTAGAGAAAAGCACTTAAAATTCACTTGACACTGGCCCTACAGTGCCAGGAGCGGGCGGGGGGAGTTGCCTAATGGGAACATACTTGGTTGTCCGCAGATTATAAGTATTCTTTCTTTTATTTATTTAAGAAATGTTTTCAAGCATCTTCATGTATTAGGTTCTGGATGATAAACTGTCCTTCCTCTAGTGGAACCTGTAGGCTAGTATGGAAGCAAGTATAGATGAATAATCCCACAAATAATTGTCATAGAATTACAAAGTGTAATATTACAAAGGAAAAGTATGGAACACTAGGAGACAATCCAAGTCTTTGTGTAGATTAGGGGGTGGTAAAGAAAGGCCTCTGTCAAAGTTCCATTCACATGAGACTTGAAGGAAGAGTTTGAGTTGACCAAGGGAAGAGTGGAACTATAATGTTTCAAGCAGAAGGCCCAGTGGATGCCGAGGCAGGAAAGGGCTCCACAACGTGATGACCAGGAAACAGAAGGGAGCATAGCAAGCCCAGGGTTGGGGGAAGCTGGAGGCATGAGCAGGTGCCACGTGCTTCTGGCCCTTGGAGGTCATGTGAGGTTTGAGATCTTGCCTTTCATGCAGTGGGCAGCAGTTGAATGGTTTAAGCAGGAGTGACTTTGTCCATTGCATTGTGGAGGGAGGACCACGGTTACTATGGAGAATGGCAGAGAAGGCAGGTGTCAAGGTGCCAAGAACATTGGGAGGCTCTTGCCAACTGACTTAGTCTTAAGGAGTGAAAGCAGAGACAGAGGGAAGGGTACAGAGTTTTAAAAGTAGTTTGACTTCAGAATTAAAAGATGTGGGTAACTGGGTACAAGAGATAAGGAGCCACAAGGATGGCAGTAGTGGAAAGGCAGGAATAAGGACGCAGGCTTCAAAGTAGAGAGGAGACGGTGCCATCGAATAGGCCAGAGAAGGCTAGGACACGAGCATGTTTTCTGGGGAAGATCAACATGTACTCCTGAAGGTACAGGGCTCATTTGAGATACTGAGATGGGGAGAAGAGGGAGAACACACATGCCTGTTGTGTTTGAAGTGATGAATGTTCTTAGCTCTGTCATTTGGGGTTTTGGCTCTAGGTGTCAGTATGAACCAGACTGCAAAGACAGCTGTGGTGTCACCCCTTTTATGGATGCAATTCAGTGTGGACACATCGACATAGCCAGACTGCTCCTCAAAAAGCATGAGGTATAAAAATGGGTTTGTTTTATTCCTGTGGTTCTTCCTACAAATTTTAGATTAAAGGATAAGAATCTGAATCATTATTCAGATTCTAGGTTCAAATCCCAGCTCTGGCAAGTTCCCCTCATGGTACCCCTTGGCCTCTTTAAGCATCAGTATATCATTTTCCCTTCTATAATATGGGAACAAATTCCATTTATTCAGGAGGTTCCTACAGGGATGAAATAATATCATGTACACAGAGCAGTTAGCAAGTTAAGTATTCAATAAATAGTAGGTCTTTGATAGTAATAATAGTAACAAACTGACTCTTACAGTGCTTTTGACACTATAGCATGGAACATAGGCTTTTTTTAAAAAAAGATATACATGAGAGTAGAGTGTATTTTGACACATTTTACCCACACAGAGTATAACGTATTCTAATTAGGACCCCATTCTTGTGGTCATATGTGATGTGGAGTTACACTCATTGTGTATTCATATATGAACAGAGGAAAGTTATGTCCACTTCTATCTTTCCTATTCCCATCCCCACTTCCTTTCCTTCATTCCCCTTTGTCTAATCCAATGAACTTCCATTATTCCCTAATCCCCCTTATTGTGTGTTAGCATCCACATATCCACATATCAGAGAGAACATTTGGCCTTTCGTTTTTTGGGGCTAGCTTACTTCACTTAGCATGATATTCTCCAGTTCCTTCCATTTACTGGCAAATGCCATAATTTCATTCTTCTTTATGGCTGAGTAATATTCCATTATGTATATGTACCACATTTTTCTTAAGGTAGGTTTGCCCTGGGGGCACCTAGGTTGGTTTCATAACTTGGCTATTGTGAATTGAACTGCTATAAACATTGATGTGGCTGCATTTCTATAGTATACAGATTTTAAGTCCTTTGAGTACCAAGGAGTGGGATAACTGGGTCAAATGATGGTTCCATTCCAAGTTTTCTAAGGGAACTCTGAACTGCTTTCCATACTGGTTGCACCAATTTGTAATTCTATCATCAATGTGTAAGTGAACCTTTTCCCCCACATCCTCACCAACATTCATGGTAACATTTATTGTATTCTTGATAAATGCAATTCTGATTGGAATGAGATGGAATCTTGGTGTAGTTTTAATTTATATTTCTCTAATTGCTGGAGATGTTAAACATTTTTTCATATATTTTTTGACCATTCGTATTTCTTCTTCTGTGAGGTACCTGTTCGGTTTCTTTGCCCATTTATTGATTGGATTATTTGGGTTTTGGGTGTTGAGTTTTTTTTTTTACTTCTTTATACATCCTGGAGATTAATTCTCTACCTGAGATGCAGGTGGCAAAGATTTTCTCCCACTCTATGGGCTTTCTCTTCACATTCTTGTTTCCTTTGCTGTGAAGAAGAAATTTATTGATTTCTTGATTTTACTTCATGATCTTTAGGAGTCTTATTGAGGAAGTCCATTCCTGAGCCGATATGGTGGAGAATTGAGCCTACTTTTTCTTCTAATAGGTGCAGGTCTCTGGTCTAACACCTAGGTCCTTTGTCCACTTTGAATTGAATTTTGTGCAGGGTGAGAGATAGGGTTCAATTTCATTCTACTACATATGGATTTCCAGTTTTCTCGGCACCCATTTGTTGAACAGGCTATCTTATCTCCAATGTATATTTAATAACTATATTTATGAACACTGGCTCTTAACCTTTTTTTTTTTTTTTTTTKGTTATGGTTAGAGTCCTTTAGACAAAAGCTCTGTATCCTCTGCCCAGAGAAACATAGACAACTAAGTAAATAAGTACTGCCAGATGTTATCAGGTATATGGACCCAGGTTTCTCTGCTGCTTACCTTTGCTCTTCCCTCCTGTCTCTTAGGCTTGCTTTTCAGCTGAGGATAGCCTGGGGTCCCAGGCTCTGCACAGGGCAGCAGTCACTGGGCAAGACGAAGCCATCCGATTCCTGGTGTCTGATCTTGGTGTTGATGTAGATACAAGAGCAACAACAACCCATCTCACAGCACTTCTTTTTGCAGCTAAGGTAGGTTTGTTCTCGTGATATTGTCTCTGCCTGTGTAGGCTTGCTTTATTCCATTTATTCCATTGGTCCTGCTTTGTTTGGCTCCATCTCTATGAAAGAAATTGCCCATGTTCCTGATTCCCAAATCCTTTCTCTCTTTAAATATAAACCTGACTTTATGCCTCCCTTCCAACTTTTTTGTTTTCAGGAATAATGTTAATGTGATAAAGACTCATTGTATGCAGTTTATAACTCTCTAGTCTTACCCTGGAATTCAGAAGTTAAGATCTTTAACTGAAGCAAAGTAATTGTATTTACTGCTCTCTCCAATGTAAAAGCACTGAAGATAAGCAAAATTTCTTCACTAGAAAGGGAGCTGTTCTAACTGCTCTTGAGTCCTGTGTGTTACCTACACAATTCAGTGGCTGCCTGCCTTGGCTTGTTTTTCTAAAAGTAGGATTTTTTTTCCCCCTGATCAACTACACTCTCCTGCGTGGTCACCACCAAAGGAAGAAAGCTAGTTTCCTCCATAGAAAGATAAAAGCTGAATCCTTGATTTTGGTCTCTCCACATACTAACAGACTCATCAGCTAGACAAAGAATGTATAAATTATAAATGGATGGGCATGGTAGTACACGCCTATAATCCCAGAGACTCTGGAGGATGAGGCAAGAGGATCACAAGTTTGAGGCCAGCCTGAGTGACTCAGGGAGATCTTGAAGCAAAGTAAAAAGGGCTGGAAATGTAACTTAGTAGTAAAGTACCCCTAGGTTCAATCCCCAATACCAAAAAAAAAAAAAAAATTATAAATGATAACACTAGCCATAATAGAATTCTCTTTTCTAAGAGGTTACAATCTTTTGTAATTTATCTCTACCCTAAAGATTATAGCAAAGCATATGGTTCCTTGGGAAATTTTGAAATTGTGGATTCTATGTAAACCATAAGATTTATAATTCTTACATTTTCAGAAACCCAACTCTATTAGGTTAATAATTTGGCCTACAAACTTGATCATCTATATCCTAATAATTAAATATTGCCAAGATTTTTTTTATTATTTGAGAGTGATATACTGAGTCTTTCCTTAAGTATGAAAATTTGGTTTTAGGAGTTGACTATTAAAAAGAGCCAAATATGCACCAGAGTTTGTGTGTAAAGGTTTTCTTTTGTTCTCATCACAGTGGTAATGAATTTATTTCAACACCCAGGAAGGACATACAAGCACGATTCAGACTCTCTTGTCCTTGGGTGCTGATATCAACTCTAAAGATGAAAGAAATCGATCAGGTATTAAATGTAAACAGTCCACCTACTTTTATATTAAAAGCATTAGTTTGGGGTTTGGGGGTGGTGTGACTATGTATAGCTCAGTGGTAAAGCACTTGCCTAACAGACACAGGCCCTGGGTTTGATCCTCATAACCACATAGGTAATACAAAAAAAAAGACCACACATACACATACACACACACACACACACACACACACACACACACACACTGGTTTTAATATTTTTCTTCCAGTAACTTTTCCTCAAAATAAATTTTCTTTTGCTTGCAAAATTATAAACCTATTGCTATTATCATGACAATGATGATGACCACTGCTCATTACCACTGCCCTTTTTACTGTTACTTTAAACCACAGCAATATGTGCCATCAAAGCACTTTGTATCTAATTCATGAGGACACCTGCTGTTGAGGTGGACAAGAGCAAGGTCTCAGAAATATATTCTTAAAGCCAATTCTCTTTTTTCTTTTTGGTGCTGGGAATTGGTGCCTCTGTGTGCTAGGTATTTGCTGAGGTGCATGGCAGGTACCATAAGCTACATCCCCAATCCCACTCAGAGCTTTAAGTTTAAGCTTGGACTTTAGAATTAAACCCTCTAAGTAGTATTCAATGAGCCAAAGGCCATCCTGTAACGGTTTACTGAGATCTTTATGCTTCAGAGACTTGCAGATGATAGATTCTGGCTCCAGGGGTGGAAAGGCAGCTATGCAGGCTAGCTCCTAAAGATTAGGCACAGAAGCAATGAAGCTCTTAGACTCTCAGCACACCTGAAGGGAATATTGGCCAACATGTTTTCTTTTTGTCATGTGGTACTTATTCATGGTGATTTTTACTTAGAAAAAGAATTCAATAAAACATTGAGAAAAATTTCCATGCCATTGAGACTGCCTTTGAATGGCACACAGGAGTGAAGATGAGGAGGATCAGTCTCCTATTTCTCATTAATTTATTCCATTGCTTTAGAAAAGGTTCTTTAAGTCCTCTCTAACTGGTTTTGTTATCTTTAAATAAATCTTTTGGCAGGGTGCAGTGGCACATGCCTGTAATCCTAGCACCTTGGGAGGCTGAGGCAGGAGGATCAGGAGTTAAAAGCTAGCCTCATCAATTTCGAGGTTCAAAGCAACTCAGTGAGACCCTGTCTCTAAATAAAATACAAAAAAGGGCTGGGATGTGGCACAGTGGTTGAGTGCCTCTGAATTCAACCCATGGTATTCCCCACCTCCAAAAAAAAATCTTTTAACCCAATCAGGTTAAAAAAAAATACTGCAAGTCATGGGTATGGATGAAAAGTATAAAATACGAATTGTTGAATGAACCAAAATTTTTGTTGGGTACAGTTGACTTATGAGGTCAGCATTGCTGTAGGGGGTCAAGTTCTAAATCCATGTCATTTTGTCTCCCCTCAGCCCTGCATCTGGCCTGTGCAGGTCAGCACTTGGTTTGTGCGGAGTTTCTCTTGCAGTCGGGACTGAAGGATTCTGCTGACATAACAGGAACCCTGGCCCAGCAGCTCACGAAGACCGCAGGTGTCCTTCAGGGCTTTGACCACAGTGAGGTGGCATAAGGATGTTTCTTAAAGGAGACAATAAAGTATATGATAATTGATATCCTGCTTCTTAAGTCATTAACAGACTCATTGAAAGTGTTCAGTAGCTGATGTTTTCTTCTCTTCCTGCCTTCCCTCGGCATGTTCCTCTCTTGCTGAGGACTTCCTGGATGGCTAGGAGTCTGCGTTCCGGACTCCATGACTGACATGTTGTGCAATCCCCAGCACAGTTACAAACTTTTCATAGTCCACATTTCTTTTTTTTTTTTTTTTTTTAAGAGAGAGTGAGAGAGGAGAGAGAGAGAGAGAGAATTTTTAATATTTATTTTTTAGTTCTCAGCGGACACAACATCTTTGTTGGTATGTGGTGCTGAGAATCGAACCTGGGCCACACGCATGCCAGGCACATTCCCAGCCCCACATTTCTTGTTTTTCTATCCTTAAAGTAGAAGTTGCTAATGTCTATTAAGTCAGTCTCTGAAATGCTTAGAGAAGCATATAACATGCATGAATGTAACATATACACTGTTATGAAGTGTATTATGATAAATACTATATGGTAAAGCAATGATAACATCAATTGCTATTAGCTTGAGCCATAAAACATAATTGGCCTATTCAACTTCTTCCTTCATAAACTTTTACTTGGCCATTACAATGATCCGACTTTGGCTTCTTAGGAAATGCTTATTATGTGTTTAAACAGACACAAAGAATTAATGAAAACTTTTCTAAATACCGCTAGTTAGAATATAAAGTTTTAATCTGTATAACATTTTTTGTAACTTTATAACTTTCTATTTGTTTAAATAGACAAATTCTTGTTCCCCTTCAAGTAATAAATACACCTAGAAAATACAATTAAGGGCTGGGGATGTGGCTCAAGTGGTAGCACGCTCGCCTGGCATGCGTGCAGGCCGGGGTTCGATCCTCAGCACCACATACAAACAAAAGATGTTGTGTCTGCCGAAAACTAAAAAAAAAAAAAATGAATATTAAAAAATTCTCTCTCTCTCTCTCTCTAAATATATATATATATATATATATATACATATATATATATGTATATAATTAAGATGTTTCCAAAAATTTCCATTAACCTGAGTTGAAGAATGAGGTTTTATTCTTAAAACATATAGGTTTTTGTGTCTCCTTTCATAAGCCCAGGGAAGTCTCTGATTGTTGATGAGTGATATACTTGTATCACTTTAAAAAATATTGTAGCTGATTAGCATGAATTCTCAGGCATTCAGATTATTTTTCTTTTTGTTTTCTTTTGTTTTCCCCTTTCCTTTTTCTTTTTTGGTCATTTTCTCTGAATTGCAAAGAATAATTATCAATCCAAAATAGACTTTTAAAAAATGGTGTGCATCAATTATGAGSAAGATTTAATCATCTTATTTAGTACAATTCATTTATTATACACCCACCTTATTCTCAGCATTGTGCTTGTCTTGGTAAATAGCAAGAACTTCCAGTTCCTCTTAACTATTCCCAGATAGTATTGGTGAATTCCTATCCCTGACTGTCAAATAAATGTTCTAATAGAAACACAGTCCTCTAAATCACACACTTTGCAGATGTGCTGATTTGAGATCCCAGTGCCAATTTTCCTGTTGCTTCAGAGATATCTTTGTGTCAGTGCCCTTTAATATCTTTGGTCTGAAGATGATCCTAAGTGTGGCTATTCCATATGTGACATAGGGTCCACAACCCAGCCAGTGCTGGCCTGTCTTCCCTTCCCTCTAGTGCCCACACAGAACAGCATCTTATTTGCAGCTCTCACATGCACAGTCACCTACCATTTGTCCCTTTGCTTCTGCCAGTACAAACTGGCCAGTACTAGGGATTGAACTCAGGGGCACTTGACCACTGAATCACATTCCGAACCCTATTTTTTATTTTATTTAGAGACAGGGTCTCACTGAATTGCTTAGCACCTCACTTTTGCTGAGGCTGGCTTTGAACTCATGATCCTCCTGCCTCAGCCTCCCAAGCCACTGGGCTTACAGACGGGCACCACCACACCTGGCTCTGGCCAGTGATTTTAACACATCATTTTTTTTTTTTTTAAAGAGAGAGTGAGAGAGAGAGAGAGACAATTTTAACATTTATTTATTTTTTCTTATTTCTCGGCAGACACAACATCTTCGTTTGTATGTGGTGCTGAGGATCGAACCCGGGCCGCACGCACGCTAGGCGAGCGCGCTACCGCTTGAGCCACATCCCCAGCCCTTAACACATCATGTTACACTTTTGTTTCCCCAGTAGTTCTAGTTTCTTTATACCTTTTTGATATAAACTTTACTACCACTAGTGTAACAACTCAACAGCTGGAGATGACATTAATTGTAATAACAATGTTTATTATAGCAAAGAGAGCAGTAATAATAGATGATAACAATGTATTTCTGTAATAATAATATATTAAGGATGCTAATTGCAATAATAATGATAATTAATAGTATTCCCTCACTCCCTAATTATAGTTTCTATATTCATTTCCTTTAAGTCTTTACCTAAAAGTTAACTTAAGGCTTCTTATCTCAAATTTCATTCCTGTCTTCAACACTTAATATCGTCTTCCCCTAGTTTTCTCCTTAGCAWCCACACCTAGCAAATATACCATGTAATTTCAGTTATTTATTTTGTTTATTGTCTACCATTGGTATATAAGCACCTTGGATGGGAATTTTTGTTGTCTTTGTTAACTATATAACTATGGGGCCTATAAAAATAAAATATTAAGTTAAAATGTTAGTATATTTTAATATATGGTTAATGAAGGATGATAGTAACAATCTGTGTTATTGAGAGCTTACTATGTGTTAGATTCTGTGCTAAGCATCCTACCCAAATTGTCTCCCTTTGTTCTCTGGTTCTTGTGCCTGCATACAGCATCTTCTAGTTATCAGTGCATCTGAAACATCTGTCTCATACACTCCTTTGAAGAAGAGTCTACCCTTGATACCCTGGACTCTCAGATTCCACACAGCCCCTTGCAGTCTGGCTTCCTTACTTCCACTCTGTGCAAATTATTCCTGGTGAGGACACCAGGGACGTTCTACCTGCCAAAGCAAGTAATGAATTTTCAGCCCTTATGTTATGATCCTTTCCAGTAATCAAGTGGAGTTCCAATCATCAGTGCTTTCTGTCTTCTAGATTCTTGCCACTTGTGACAACTCACTCCGGGATTTTTCTTTCTGGTTCTTCTTTCTCTGTCTCCTTCGTGAGCTCCTCTGTTAGAGCCTGTCCCATAATTGCTGATATGCTCCAGCGTCTCTTCCCAGCTTCTCTTCCCTGTTCTATTTGCTCCTGAAGCAGTCTCATCCACTCTTCTGGTTTCAGCTGTGTCCTGTTATCAGCAACATCCCAATCTCTCTCCAGCCCTTCTTTTCTACTTCCTGCTGTACAGTTTTACACGGGGTTGCTAAGGCACCCTCACACTTAATTTCTCAACATCTAATTTTGCCTATAACCCGCTTAAATTCACACTGTGTTCACTGCCTCCACTGAGGGAACCACAGTTCACTAGGCCATCCTGGTTGGAAACCTGGGGTCCCTCCATGAAAAGTCCCAGTTAGTTCTATTTGTTGGATAGCTCACCAATCTGTCGAACCCACTCTATACCTGCTATGACTCCCTGCTCAGGCTGTCATATTCTCACCCCAGATCACTATTGCAGCAGCCTGTTAATTACTCCTCCTGCTTCTAGTCCTGTCCTTCTCAAATCTGCCCTCCACATAGCTTCCAGAGAGCTCTTGCCAATTCAGCCAAGGGCCAGTGATTGCCTTTGGCGGTTCTTTGTGCCTCTCATCCTGAATAACTTACTGTACTTTCATCAGGGCTCTGGGCCACTCAGCTAAGACCCACTTCCATGAGGGCTGTCAACTCGTTCTCAAAGCACACCTTCCCCATGGTGAGTATGTGTAATGAAGCTCAATCAGGGCCAAAATTTCAACAATAGTAAGGATTTCAATCACTTGGAAATAGCTAGGACCTAACATATACTTCCTTCAAAAAATTATATGAGAAAATACTTACAAGACAAGATAGAAAAGGAATTACAAAGTGGGCAAGAAATGACAAAACTCAGGCTAAAGAAACATGAGAACTGCTGAGCATGGTGGTGCAGGCCTGTAACCCCAGCGGCTTAGGAGGCTGAGGCAAGAGGATCAAAGTTCATAGCCAGCCTCAGCAACTTAGTAAGGCGCTAAGCAACTCAACAAGACCCTGTCTCTAAGTAAAATAAAGGGCTGGGAATGTGGCTTAATGGGTTAAGCACCCCTGAGTCCCAGTACCAAAGAGAAAAAAAAAAAAAAACAAGAAACTTGAGAATTAAGCGAAGGAACCCAGGAGATGAGAAAGGGTGGAGCAGGCACTAAATGCTGTTCAACCCAGGCCTTGCTGGAATTCACCAGCAGATCGAAGTCCAGAAAAATGCCCTTTGTATTCTCCCAGACTTTTCTTTAAAAGGCTACTGTAAAATATAGGAAATAATAAAGGAAAAAAAAATTACCCCATAGTTCCACCAGCTAGTTGTAACCACTCTTATTTCCTCCCAGTCTGTCTAAAAGCATTTGGTTAAGATGATACTGTATATGTAGTGTTCCATCCTAACTTTATATTATAACCAAATCACTTATGCTCTTAAAAACTTTGTAAACTTTGTTTTTATCAATATGTAAAGCTCCATCATATCATCTACGTCGATTTTTTTTTAAACAAGACTTTATTTTACTTATTTATGTGGTGTTGAGGATCGAACCCAGGGCCTTGCACGTGCGAGGCGAGCACTCTACCACTGAACTATAACCCCAACCCAACGTCGATTTTTTTGTGTAGATATTTTGGTTGTTTTGAGGTTCTTTTAAAGATAGGACATAGACAAGATAGTCAGAAAGGTGTTGTCAGATTCGACTGAAAGCAGGAATCAAGGGAGGGGGAAACGGCTGTCAGATTGCTTGCCAAGCACAGTAGATGCATGCAGGGGCTTGAGCAAGCCTGTAATCGTTTGGATGTGTTGAATGGTGATGAAAGAAATAAGGTAGTTGAAGGACA